TGATACATACTGAATCCAAAAATGTGTTAATCTTATTTTCCTGTTTACGTGAACGCCATCTTCGCTTTATATCAACGTGTAAACGTCGTTTTGGAGCTCTTTGAGACATCTGAAATTAAAAGAAAATATGCAACAATTAACAATAGTAACAGAAACTTCGAATAAAAAACACGGTTTTTCAAGCACTGCGGAAGTTTATATTGTTCATTTTTAGATTTCTTTTTGATTAAACAACTTTTTTTCTCCTCTAATAATGCGAATAAGTTCTTTCTATTGTTTTTGACCAGTCCGTCGTATATATAACGTTTGTTTCAACCAAACAAATAATAGAATTCATCTTTTCATTGGTGTTTACTTATGCATTGTCAACGTTAAGAAGTTGATGGTCAGTGGCATCTAATCAAGTGAATGACTGATATATGGAAAAAAATTTTATATTTTCTGTTGCACATGCGTAATTCATGCGCTTGAGTGAGAAACAAAAATGCTTGAATAAAAATTCAAATACATGAATAGGAATTCAAGTACATGCATACAAATGCCAAGCACATTAGGTTGAAAAAGGGCCTGATGTCTTGCCTCAAGATGTGTCCATAGCTCTTGACTTTCTTGCTCAAGAAAGTCAAGAATTGCATGCGCTTGCAAAAAAGAAAGTTTGACTAGGGGTGTTACATGTTTAATTGAATGGTTTATTTTGTTGACGTTAACGAGTGTTTTAGAACAAACACGATAGACAACGATAATATGATAATGAGTCGTATATGGACGATGCATACGATGCTTAAAAATATTATTGAAGCTTCATTAGAGTCGTTGAATTGTGAGAATAGGCGTAATTTATCTCAAAGCAGTTGGATTACTAAATATGGATGATAGCATGATTTGCCTTTATAGTTATTTACAAGATTTAGCATATATTATCTGAGCGTTGAGGAAACTATGGTGATTTGTTTCAATATTTTCCCGGGAATGACAAACAGGTGAAAATGTAAAAAAAAAAGTAGAGTTACTTGAGAAGAAAAGAAAATTCCCCCCATCTCAACGGTTTAAGTGAGAAAAGCATTCTCGAACGATGAAAAGGTTAAACATTAGAGCACAATAACGCATCATGCAGTAAAAGAAAGAAGAAAGTATGCAATAAAATAGTTCTACTGAATGCACCTTAAATAAAATTTGAAAAAATATTTTCCGCCGACATTTTGATAAAAAAATTCATAATAAATATATCTTGCATCATACTTTGTCTCTCAAAGCCTTTTATGGCAGCACGTTTGAACTGTGAAACCCTAAAGAATTGAGCAGAAATGATAAAATATTTTCCACATCAGTATCTTTGGGTAGAGAATTTGTTTTTAGAATGGATCATTTTTTGACAGAACCTTTCAAGGTTCTGTCTTATTGCACAAAACTTCTTCGGCGTAGCATTGCAGAAACAGAACCTTTTATGGTTCAACAATTTTCTGCTGAACCTTAAACGGTTCAGTATCATGAGACAGAACCCTTTGAGTTCCCCTTTTGGATAGAAAACATCTGATGGTTCCGCATCTTTACCCAGAACTATATCTGGTTCAGTATTATTGCACACTGAACTTTTTATGGTTCAGGATTCTTTTGCTGAACCTTGCAAAGTTCAGCATCAGGGGAAAAAACCTGTCGGGTTCCGTACTTTTGACTAGAGAGCATTTATGGTTTCGTTTTTTTTCACAGAACCTTAATGGGTTCAGTGTCATTGTGCAGAGCCCTTTCAGTTCAGTGTTCTTCAACACAAAACTTTTTATGGTTTTGAATTTTTTCCCGAAACCTTCAAAAGTTCAGTACTGTTGGACAGAACTATTGATAGTTTCGTACTGTCACACAGAACTTGAAATGGTTCCGCATGAGCTATGGAACCATAAAAGGGTTCTACAGAACTCCTTTTTTCTCTCAGAGTAGGTTATCGAGGTCCCTGAATTAGAATTCGAAGCCCATTTCTTCGGCCGAGGTTTCATTGGCCAGGAGCTAACCAATCAGAAAAGAGTATTTTTACTGGCAGACTTTAAGCAGTTTGGATGCATTTTTGCTAGACGAACGAAATCTTTATTTTGACTTTTGTATGTTTTGATCGAAGGTGCCGCACTAGAGAGATTGACGCAAATGCGGATGCGAATTTAAGTATGTTGAATATTGTAAGCGCCACGTTTGTCTGAATCTCCCAGAAATAAGATGTGTATTGTCTGGAAGAAGGGAAGAAGCCACGTTATCTAACTTACGCATGATGAGTACAATTGTGAGACAAAGAAGGCATGGGTGCTGTCCTGCATTTCCCAGGAAAGATCTTCGAGAACTGAATCGAAAACAATTTTCCGATCTATTGTGAAAATACATACAAGAATTTTTGTATTTAGAGCTGACGATATTTTATGTAATTACAGAGGTAACGGCTACTGCCCAAGCAGACAAACTTTTTCAAAAACGCGTTTAAACACTCAATCGGGAACCGCGATTGCGTGTCATTAACGCTCATTAATGAAACGCAAGAAACGCGGTTTTTACGCAGAATTCTCACTTTCCGAACGCGAAAACGCATAGAAACTCCAATTCCGAACGTTTAAACGAATTGGTTTTTAATTTATCGAATAATTGTGCGGATAAACGCTCGGAATTGGAGTTTCTATGCGTTTTCGCGTTCGGAAAGTGAGAATTCTGCGTAAAAACCGCGTTTCTTGCGTTTCATTAATGAGCGTTAATGACCCACAATCGCGGTTCCCGATTGAGTGTTTAAACGCGTTTTTGAAAAAGTTTGTCTGCTTGGGTGTAGCAATCAAAACATTCGTATGTTGGGGTTTCGGAACCTCGCAAATAAGACTGTCACCAAAAGAATCATCACCAATGGCGAAAAGTCACTGTACTTTGGTCAATATACCTCACGACTTTCGCTACTGACGAATATTCTATTGGTGAAGCTCTTATTGGCGAAGCTCGGGTAACCCGATATGTTATGCCTCTGGAGAGAATCTCCTTGTTTAAGACCGTCCCACATACTTTTCTTTTTGAGTAAATTTATCCTTCTGCATATTTCACAATCCCACCCTAAACATTTCAAACCACACATTGAATGAGTACGATAATGAAAATGGATGGGCTTTATGCCAGACTGGGTTTGTTTTATGAACTATACAATATCCACGTCTCTCACTACCGTTTCGCTCTATTTCTCCTCCCGTTGTCTGTAAAAACGAAGAAGAACATTAGAATATATCATAGTTAATAGCAGAGTACAGTTTTATTGTTATGTCATTGAGTTAAACAAACAAAATTTTAAAATCGCAGTTCGTAAGGTGCCTTTGTTACGAAGAGTATATCATGAACTCATGGTACAATGTTGTGCGAAGCAAAATTTTTTTAAACGATTGTTCATAACGAATGATTAACTTGAGCTTTTTCTGCATATCTGTTTTTGTTTTGTCGAAAACGTAATAGTGCTGCACACGCATTAAAGTATGAAGAAGAAAGGAAAAATTGTTCATGGACGTGATACAAAATAGAGACCAAAGTTTTGAGTCATTCCCTCGACTGTAGGGGGGGGGGGGGGGGGGGGGGGGAAAAAAGGGGGTTGGGGGGGGGGGGGGGGTGTTGGGGGCCCGCAAAAA